GAAATTGGGTTGATTATATTAAAAAGACTCAAAAAAGGATTTTTTTTCTATTGGTTTAGAATTACTATGTCTGTTTACAAAGTGATAAATAATTAAATAATGATAAACAAAGACATAAAGAATTTGGGATCAAATGCCACCTTCACAAGAATTGCCATGTGAATCCAATTCCATCATTCTCAATATAGCTTTTTCCGATTTTATAGGATTCAACACCATATTCCACACATACAACACGTGCGAAGAAAGTTTTACAGATAATCAAAGTATATATGAAACAGAAAAGTAAATCTTCCTCTATTTAAGGGTTCAAAAGCACAAGATGAGATGCTGCTTGTATGCGTCTTCAAAATGTTTGTCACCAACCACCATGTTCTTTTGAGACGGAACAACTAATAACCTTCATAGTCCATAAGCAAAGTACCATCTTGTCTTCAATCCAGTAGCTAATCTAATCTTCCTTTTTCCCTTCAACTTTTTCCTGAGATTGAATGTTCATAAATTAGCTAGTCCTAACAAATTCATAGTTACAGAAAATTGAAAAGAGAAGGGGGAAAACAAAGCAGACCGCATTAAAGAAAACATTAAACAATATAAATCTGAAAGAGGGCGGATGTCCTGCAATGATCTGAAATGTAATAGTTTCAGTTTAAAGTTGTTGGTTGGACATTTTGTAAAGCCTTAAGAGTTAGGGACCAAATTGTTCAAACAGATCAATAGAGCCAAGCACGAGTTATAAGATGGGATTGCAAAAATATGTAGCAGGAACAACATAATATCAATCCAGCGCACTCTGAGGTTGCTTTAATTAGGGCTCAGGTAGCAGTCTTTTTTTTCCTCCATTTAGAGTTCAGAATAACAAATGAGACACTTAAAATGTACTTAAAATGAATCTTGCTTGAAATGCAAGATATCTGTTCTTGAGGACATCTGAACCATTCAGCTTCTCACTATATATGCAGATTAGTATCTTGTCTTCCGACCAGTAGCTTATCTAATTCACTACTGGCTTCAACTTTTCCTGAAATTTGATATTTATTAAAAAGTCAGCTTGTACTCAGAAAACTAAAGAAACAAAATGAATCTGATTGCAACTCTGATATATATAATACCTGTATCAACTGGAGAGTTTAGAGACAAAGGTGAATGCTGGAGTGCAAGTAGCTCCTCTCTGCTGTACTCTAATCTTTGATCTAATTCACAAAACAATCCGAGATAACTATTGCATTGAAATAGATAAAAGCAGTAGATTGGATACTAAACAGCTGTCAAAAATTCAAATACAGTGCTTACTAGAGGTTGTAGCGGTTGGCATGGATCCATCAACAATTTCAAGTGCTGCAAACGTTTCTGAAAGCAACTGTGCAGAATCAGCTTCATATCCAATACTCCGAACTACACCACTGTGGTTAACCGGCCATTTCATTGGAACAACCAAACCCCTGAAACACTCAAAATTTTATGACCAAAGTTTTCCATACTCTTTCTCCATATATGACACAATAACAGGGTAGATGAAGATGAAACTAAAGCCTGGCAATAGAAAGCACACCTCTCCAGGGATCTATACTTGCAGCGGTTTATCTTATCTACAGTGTAGTTCACAAATAGACTGTCGAGATGCTCTGCAACTTTTGGTACATCTTGTAATGGCAAAATATCCCAGATCTTCAAAACTTGTTTGTAGTGTGAATTTTCCTTAATGATGTCCACTGTCCAAAGTAGATTCAAAAGATCATTCACTGGGTACAGCTCCAAAAAGGCAGAAGAGCTATCCAGGACATAATGGGTCTTCTTATTTGGCATCAGGCGCCAGCCACTTGAAAGCTTTTCCAACAGAGTAAGCAACTGATTAGTAGTCTGAGTGTTCTTAATGCCTGCCACAGAACTCCAGAAACCATCGCTGAAGCAAACCTATTTGATATTGAAAGTAAGGCACTATATGGCTTTATGTAAACTTTATAAATCAAAATATACATTTTTTTTTTGCCTCTAATTAAGCAAAGTTAAGAACAATTATAACTGTGACAAAATATAAATGGCAAAAAAAGTTAGAATACCCTCCATGTTGCATCCTCGAACATGGGAAAATTCATGTTTAATAGAATTTCAAACTGTTCAAGCTCGATCAAAGCAGTGGTCATTGCCTTAGTAAGACTTTTGTCTTCATCAGCATTGTAGAAACATTTCCGCTCCTTAGCATCAGTGACCAATTTCTTCCAAATAGAGCCACTGTTAAACAGTGTAGCTTCATTCCCCACTATCCAGCAGCAATGCCTATAAAAGAAGAAAACAACAATCAAATTCAAAAAATATGCAAAACTAGGCAAGTTAATCAGGAAAAAGAAATCTCATTTTAGTTTCAGCAATGCCTTGCACGGGTCAGCGCAACATTTGCTCTTCGGCGATTGGATAGAAAACCCACTGATCCATTCCCATTAGACCTAACTGTTGAGATGATAATCACATCCTCCTCACCCCCTTGAAATCCATCAACAGAGCGAACACTAATGGAGAAGCCAGAATCTACACTTCTAGCATATTTCTTTCCAAGTTTCTTTTCAATTTCATGAACTTGAGCATTGTAGGGTGAGATGACACCTACACTCAATTTCTGTTTCTTGAGGGTGAACTCTGTAATGGAACAAAAAGAACTTAGCCCCGCAAGAAAAGTTACGAAGGAAAAGAATAGAAGACTCCATAATTTTATACCTTTGAAAAGGTTTGCAACAATCTCACACACAACAGCAACTTCAACCATATTCTTGGGGCTATGTCCATTGTCAAATTGCTCCTTTCCATAGGTTACATTGATTAAAGAGTAAGGACCATACATGTTTCCTCCAAGGAAGTGCTTCACGTAGCTTCTATCTTTCACTGCTGGAGCATCCACAATCTTATTATTATAGAATTCTCTATTTGGAAATAAGCTTATAGATGGATGCATCCGATATTGGATATTTAGTAAGTGTTTCTTTTGTCCCAGTAAGACAAGCCTTTCAAACAAACTTCTACCAAATTCAGCCTTCTCAGCAATCTGTTGAACAAACTATGTTACTATGCTGATAAAGCAAAAAAGAAACCCCTACGTAGTTTCCATAAAGAAAATGAAAACAAAAGATCATTAAACTTAAAACCTTGCTGTGGACCATTGCAGGCAGCTGAAGCTCATCTCCAATGAGAATAGCATGGCGGAGGCCTGGAAGTTGCAAGGGAATTGTGGACTCACATTCTTTCAGCTGAGCAGCTTCATCAATAACCAACAAATCAAATTCTCCTGCACCATGCAATTTCGTAGAGCCTGATGCAGTACAGAAGAGCAGACAAGCGTTTGCCAAGCAAAAATCTCTTATTTTTTCAATATCTCCCCCAAAGTCTGGAATTTCCCAAAGGGTAAGTGACCTTAGTATCTGCAGGCAATCTTTTTTGGTCAAACTCAATTTTCTGAGAGAGCCATCACTGTTTTCACATTCAAAAATATTATGGTCTTTCTGTTGTGCTTCATCACCAAGATCATGCAACAAAATTTCCAAAGATCTGAGTAAATCAACAGCTTGCATCATGTTTTTTCCCACTTCTAATGACATGCACCGAGTTGGCAAGTGCGTATACAAATTTACAAGACAAAATCTCAACCTCTGGCTAATGGAATTGAATGTCTTCCTGACAAACTCAATATAAGTAAGGGGATCATCTTCACATGTTTCTGCCTCTTGTGCATCTTTTTCCTCATTGGAAACATCCTGCTGCTTTACCATGGTTTTGACTTTGTTCAAGATCTGGCTGATTAACTTCTTCCAGTCTTTTCTTTTGTTATTGTCATCATCTCCCTCGTCCCCATCTTCCTTGTCGTTGCTCTTTTTACTTCTTTGTAAGTATTGTCTATACTGCCCAACCGGATCTTCAAGCAATTCTATCATAGACCTTAAACTACCCTTCCATCCATCCACTGGTGAAAAGCACTTAGAAAGCATGTCAACACGTTTAGAAAGCTTGTCAACACGATCGGAAAGATTGCCAATACGACTATCAACAAATATATCAAGAAGGTCATCGCTACCATCAATCTGCATTCTCTCCTTATTACCAAATAAAACAATATCTCCAAGTCCATATGTTTCAAATTCAGTAGATTTTGTAACAAAGCTCATGAGACGTGATGCCACTTGCAACACTGCAGTGTTGGTTGGGGCACATATAACTGTCCGGCATTTCATTCGTAGAAGAGCAAACAATAGTACACCAATAGTTTTTGTTTTCCCTGTCCCTGGAGGACCCCATACAAGTTTAACTGTATTTCGATGATGGCAACTATAATCACCAATAGAAGTCAGAACTGCAGCTTCTTGGGAATTATTTAAACCAAAAGATTCAACTATGCTCCTTGGATATGATGGACTGGTGCCACAAATTCTTCCATATAAGCATCTAGTACAATTTTCTTCATCCTGCAAGGAGCACATATGTAAGAAAAATCAGTGATTTTTATGAATGACTTTTCAGAAATGATTAGAGAATGGAATGAGATACTCTTAAAACACATGAATTTCTTACAGTTGGACTCTTCAGAAGAACGTTCTTGATCAAGTTCATTGTCTTCCCTTTTGGATCTGAATCTCTGTTCAATGCCTTCCATATGCGAACATTTGTAATTGTGTTGGTCAGGAAAACAACAAAAAGAGTGACCTTAATGTTCTCTAACCTTTTCATATCCTCTTCATCCATGAGTGGTTTTGATGACAATATTGAGAATATATGAGGATTTTCATAATCTACCCAAGTGACAGATGCAATGAGATAAGAGTCTTCTGACATGTTCAAAGCTGCAGTGCATTTTGGTCTTATACCAGTTAAAACAATGAGATCTCCAGGCGCAGGCTGATACGTCCCTTTGTTCTTCTTAGAGACTTTTGTTCCTATCAGGTCATAGGTCAAGTTTTTGGGGGAGTGACCTTCAGAATGCGTGACTGACAATATCTCAAGTGAAAGTGCCATAGATTCTGTTGTCAAGCTCGACAACAAGTCTGCATGTGTTTCCTCAATAAGAGGAAGTTTGAATGACTCCAAGTAAGCTGTTGTTGAATTAAATTTGGCTGGAATTTTCTTTACCTGATGATTACGAATCAAAGAAGAAGAAACTCCAGATTAAGTTGTTGCCATGATTGCAACAAACAATGCCAAAATCAAAAGATAAACTATAGAACAGACAATTTATTACACAAACAATAAGCATTTTGCATTTCTGCACATGAAGAATCATTTTTTGTGATGAAGCTCTGTTTTGATTCATCTGTCATTGCGCATTAAGCAAAAATAATTAAAAAAAAATTATTTGTAATAAACACAATGTTTTACAGATGAGATTGCATTTTTAAAGTGAAGTCCAATCTATAAATTTATTAAAATACTTTTAATAAATTATTTTTTATGCCATTTCATTTCATTAAAGATATTTTACTAATTTCATTAATTAAATTGCACTTTTAATACACAGTCTAACCTGTAAAACATGAATTCCTAGACATATTAAGGATCTTTCTCCTCGTGGGGATCAACTCTTGGAGCTGAAGACATAAGCAGGGAAGCAGAGTTCCTAAAAGGGGGATATATGACTATCTATCCCTATTGTATAGTTATATAGCTCAATTTGCTCCACATATAGAACAAAGATTATATGTTACTTGCTTTCAAAAAAAAAGATTATATGTTACTTGAACACTTTACGGTGCGTTTGGAGTGCTGTATTGACAGTGGGATGGGATAAAAATTTTGTCTCAGCCCACCGTGTCCAATATTTGGTAAGGTAAATGGATGGGATGATTGTCGACCCATATTTTATACAATCCTATCTTCCTTTCATAAAATGTAACCCACCTCCCAATGGAATTAGGTGGGACAAGATTTGATTTTACATTTCTACTCTTTCCTATCTCCACGATTCTCTACCCCTTCTCTTGTTTTTTCTTTGCCAATCCTTCTTTAAGTTTGTATTGGTGCACATCGGCGTAACGCCGACAACAAACCAGAATCCATCTTCGTGAGTAGTTGGACGGATAGCTTCTTCTTCCTTCCTCTCTCTTTCCTCCTAGGTTTTCTCCATTTCCCTCTCTTACTCTTCCCCCTTCTTTCCTTGATTTCTATCTGATCTGAAGGCATCAACCAGATCAATCTCAAGAATTCAGCAACGGAGTCGTCGAGCACTTTCAGGTGGTTCTCCGATTTCTCTTCTTGATCAAATTGACCATCCACTCCAATTGGCAGTTTGACTTGTTGCCTAATTGTTGGGTTGCGTGAAAGGAATGAAAAATGTTGATGATAATTAAATATGATTTTGTTGTAAGTATGTGTAATTAATCAATAATAAATTATAAATTTTTTTGATAAAAGTAATTAATGATAATTATCACAATTAATTTGGAATGTTACCTTGATTAATTCCAAAATAAATTAAAATAAAATTTTATTGAATGTAACTATAATATATGGATATTTTTATTTATACAAATAAATTTTTATATCTAATTTCTTATTGAACAAAATAACAAAGGTAAGATTCGAACTTTCAATCCACCAGAAAGAGAGAGAGACAACACTTTAAGGTGCCCGAAGGCCACTTGGCCAAGGGCATATCTAATTTTTTTTTTTTAATATTTTTGTCATGGACAGCTCGAATGTTACTCTGAGAAAAAAAGGAAATATGAACTTTATAAGAGTGACCAAAGTCACTTGATCCAGAGGTTCATATTCATATTTAATTTTTCTTTAATCTAGTGATCAACCAGACATTACATTAAATTAATACAATATATTTTATCTAATTTAATATAATCTTATCTTTTAAACTATATCCCATCTAATCCAATCTTGTGCTCCAAACATCTTCTTACTCTTAAGGATTAAGAGTATTAGAAATACACATTCTGAACTAACATACTTATTTACAAAAACAAAATACCATATTTCAGACAGTGCTGCAAGCAAGAGTGAGGCAATTAGAAAAGATGCATACCTGGCTTTTGTAAAGATTTTCATTGAGAACATCTTGTAAGGACCAAGAAAACACCGTATCAATCAAACTCGTGTTAGCCGGAGTCTTGTCCATGACTGCAACTTCAGTGCTTCCCACTTTCAGTGGAACTGTGGAAGGGAGGAAAGAAATCAAAGAATCCACTGAAAGGGCATACCCAGTAAATTAATGTATGCAGAGGTTTGGATGTTTGGAGTGTAAGAGGAGTGCGAAAGGACTGGCTTTTAGCCTCCTTAGTCTAGCTCTTTAATCTTCTTTGTCGCTCGCGGTTTCCCATGGATGAAGTAAAGACATGAGAAAAGAAATGGAAGGAGAATTTGAGGAGACTTTGACAATTTAGCTTGCTTAAGGATTAAGCTTAAAGATTAAGTGCACGTCCTGCATGCACTTTTCGTATTTTCTTTTTCTTTCTCTTTCTCTCTCTCTTTCTTCTTCTTCTTCTTCTTCTTTTTTTTTTTTTTTTTTTTTTCATTTTCATTTTCAAACTTTTACTAACAATGATAAATACCTAATGGTGCCTGATTTTATTGATTTTTAATGCAAGGCCAATATTTCATGATTTATATTACTTAAGTTTATTAGTACAATTTTTAATATTTGTTATGTTATTATACCTTTAAAATTTAAGTTAATTAATTATATAAAAAAGACAAAAAAAAAAAAGATTTTCTTATCTCTTGGTTAAGAATTAGTTTGTCTATTTACATAGTAATAAATCATTAATAATGATTAAATAAAGAAATAAAGGATTTGGGATCAAAATGCCACATTCACAAGTATTGCCACGCATGCCAAACAAATTCCATCACTTTCAATATAGCTTTTTCTGATTTTGCAGGAGTTGGATTCAACTCCATATTTATAGGTTTTACAGATAATCAAGTATATATGAAGCAAAATGGTAAATCTTCCTCTATTTAAGGTTCAAAAGCACAAGAGAGATACCGCTTCTGCTTGTATGCATCTTCAAATTGTCTGTCACCGTTCACCATGTGTTCTTTTGAGACGCAGGAATTCAGTAACCTCCATAGTCCACAAAGCCGAATACCATCTTGTCTTCCATCCAATAGCTTATCTAATCTTCTTTTTTCCCTTCAACTTTTTCCTGAGATTGAATGTTCATAAATTAGCTAGTCCTAACAAAGTTTAAGTTACAGAGAATTGAAAAGAGAAGGGGAAAAACAAAGCAGAATGCATTAATTAAAGAAAACATTAAACAATATAAACCTGAAAAAGTCTGGATGTCTTGCAATGATCTGAAATGTAATAGTTTCAGTTCAAAGTTGTTGGTTGGATATTTTGTAAGGTCTTGGAGTTAGAGATCAAATTGTTAAAACAGATCAATACAGCCATGCACGAGTTATAAGATGGGATTGCAAAAATATGTAGCAGGAACAACATAATATCAATTTAGCACACTCTGAGGATTGTCAGAATGCACCTCAATGACATATGCAATGAGATAAGGGTTTTTCTACCTGTTCAAATCTTCAATGCATTTTGGTCTTATACCAATTAAAGCAAGGAGATCTCCAGCCGAAGGCTGATATGTCCCTTTGCTCTTGTCAAAGTATCCCTTTTCTAACCTCAGATCATAGGTTAAGTTTTTGGGGGAGTTA